AGTTAAAGGAACCTAATGGTGCTATTTTCCTAAGTCCATCTTAGTGTATAGCCTGGAAAGACACCTCTGCTGGGAACAGACTCTTAAGTCCAGGAGCCAAGCTCCTATCATTGCCAATGGCTTTTTGCATATGACCTATGGGAAAAATTCAGCCCCCCACCACCAAAAGAAAAAGGAAAGGAGAGAGAATCTGCTAAATATAGCCCAATGGATTTGAGCACTTCTCTTGACAAGAGCTGCAGCCAGTAACGCTGTCAGTTGGAGATGACTTCGCCCCCTTCCTTTCCCATTTCTGCCCAGGCACTAAACCAGTTGAGTTCCTCATGCTGTGTGCAATTATAGCACCAAGATGTAAGATATGCTGACTGTGAGACCTTGTTGTGAGATGGGGTGAGAGCATCGGGAACAAAATGATCATTATAGGCCATTCATGTCGACAACATTTACACCTCTGTGTTTGCTTGCAAGCAAAAGCAGGAGCTAATTTGCAAGGCTGCCTTTGTGGAGCTGCCTTTTGATTAATGATTGCCTGTGTTAATGTTTCAGTAAGCTATTGATTTCTGCAACCGCTTTTGTTCCCTGAATGTATGTGCCGCGGGTCTCTGCAGCACACACTATGCATGTTTGATTAAAGTTCAATTGACTTCATTCCTGGTGGGGCCTCTAGCCGCTTCACTCCCTATTTGTAGAACCAAGGCTTTCCCCGACATGTTTGTTCTTTTGTTTGTGCTCAAGACCTTGCCACCCATGCAGTCACCGGTATGCTGTTTCCAATCCTCCTAGACTCGCTCCATTCCAGCGTTTAATCCCTTGGTAGACATTACAGTGGTTGAGAGGTAGCTAATAAAACCTGGCCTGGATTTGTTGTTGTTGTTTAATCAACTTTGTTGACGTAAAATTGGTATACCTGCCATCTATGGTATGAATACCACAAAAATGCACCCACTTTAAGTACACAGTTTCGTGACTTTTGACCACCATATACATTTGTGTGAATGATACCACATTGAACTTACAGAGCATTTCATCACCCCAGAATGTTTGCCTGAGTTTTTTTTGTTTCTCGTCCCCCACCTCCAGGCGCTGGGCAACCACTCATTTGTTTTTTTGTGATTTCTGGAAAGGAGTCATGCAGCATGCCCCTGTCTGCCTGCTTTCATGCAGCTTGGTGTTTTTGACAGTTACCCATGGCATTGCCTGTGGCAGTGGTCTGTGCCTTTTCATTGCCAAGTCGTAGTCCGGTGCATGGGGTTACCATTATTTGTTTATCCATTCTCCTGCTCGTGGGCATGTAGGTTGTGTCCAGTTTGGACTATTAAGAATAAAGTTTCTATGAATGTATCTGTGAAAGTCTTTGTGTGAGTTTTTTTTTTTCTTTTTCTTTTGGGTAAATAACTGGGAGAAGTATTGCTGGGTTGTTTGGTAGATATCATAGTTTGAGTATTCTGTATTTCCACCAGCAGTGTATGATGGTTCTAGTCACTCTGTCACCTTCCTGAATTGTAAGTTTACCATTCTGACCACCTGTGACTTCACTGCTATGGAGGACAGTCCTTGCCTGGTCATTTTCATCTTTGGCACTCAGATGAGGAAATCTGGTCTGGACTACTTCTTTCAAGGGTGTTACCTAAGTGTCAAAAAAAAGTTTATATTGATTTCAATGTTAGATTTTTTTTCTTTTGGGTCTTGATTTTCTCACTTGTTAGCAGAGAACAGTGGTGCCAGGAGCAAAGGTATGAAAGTTAAGCCTTTGTTCTGTCTGACATGGAGCACTTTCTTACCTCTCTAAACCCTGGCTTCTCCTTTTTAAGTTTTATTTTATTTTTTAAAGAGGTGGTGTCTTGCTCTGTTGCCCAGGCTGGAGTGCAGTGGCACAGTTGTAGCTCATTGCAGCCTCAGCCTCCTGGGCTCAAGTGATCCTCCTGCCTCAGCTTCCTGAGAGGCTGGTATTACAGGCACCACCACACTGGTCTAATTTTTTTTTTTTTTTTTTTGAGACGGAGTTTCGCTCTTGTTGCCCAGGCTGGAGTGCAATGGCGCGATCTCGGCTCACTGCAACCTCCGCCTCCTGGGTTCAGGCAATTCTCCTGCCTCAGCCTCCTGAGTAGCTGGGATTACAGGCACGTGCCACCATGCCCAGCTAATTTTTTGTATTTTTAGTAGAGACGGGGTTTCACCGTGTTGACCAGGATGGTCTCGATCTCTTGACCTTGTGATCCACCCGCCTCGGCCTCCCAAAGTGCTGGGATTACAGGCTTGAGCCACCGCGCCCGGCCTTGGTCTAATTTTTTTTAAAACTTTTTTGTAGAGATTGTTGCTCAGGCTTGTCTTGAGCTCCTGGCCTCAAGCAGTCCTCCCGCCTTGGCCTTCCAGGTAGCTGAGTCTGCCAGTGCACACCAGCCATGCCTGGCTAATTTTTTTTTTTTTTTTTTTGAGGTGGGGGGAACTAAGTCTCACTATGTTGCCCAGACTGGTCTTGAACTCCTGGCCTCAAGGGATACTCCTGCCTCAGCCTCCCTAAGTACTGGGATTACAGGTGTAAGCTGCTGCACCCTGCCTAGCTTCTTCCCTCAACCTGAGGTCTGTAGGTTACTATCTTTTAAAGCCATTTCAAAACATATGTATTTGAGAAATAGAGATAATTGATTGTAACTGTGTATAGCAATATTGCATTATAGACAGATGCCGTTTAGAAATGTCAGGTTGCTGCTTTCTGACAGCCTTCAAGTAAGATGCGGAGGCCTGGCAGAGGCGCAGGTGCCACCTTCCCACTCAATTTTGCGCTCTCATTTTTGTTCCCTTTTGTCTCCTATAGCTTTGCATTTCTTCTTACATCCCAAGCTTTTATCATTCAGTAGCCCCTAAAATGACTTGGACTGAAGGAGGAAGTAGAGGGAACCACTATGAGTTTTTTCTCACTCTTTCAAGCTCTGGAACTGGGCTGTGACTTATCACAGCACCAGTTACTCTTTTGAGCTCATGAAGCATCACTGGACAGAGTATTTGGAGTGTGACTGCTCCCTGCCTTGACTTCTCTTCCATATTTTCTCAGAGGAAAACCAGACACAAGCCAGCATTTATGTCAGCAGTGATCTAGTCATCCCCTAGCAGGATTTACAAGTCTGTTCCCTCTAGCCAACACCCAAGGATCAGCATAGATAAATGCATTTCCAAGTCCTGAAAGCTGAAGTGAAAAGAGCTAGGAGGTTCGCAGATCATGACCTTGGGGCCCAGGATGCTATCCCCACTGGGACAGTTGGAGCCGGCATTCCTAGACCAGCGTTGGACAGATAAGCCAGTCCAAATTCCAGTGGCAATATCTGCATTTCCCCTTATCATTCAGTTGCCATCTCATGGAACTGAGGGGTGGGCACATGCACTACATGTAGGGACATGAATGTGCTTGTCCTGAGGTGGCTCCCTGGCCCCGCTGGCTTGGGGTTGTGCTTCATCTGCTAAGGTATTGGCAATTAGGAGTCATTTGTGAAGCATTAAGTGCTAGGGTGGTTGAGACACATCCAGTGCTCCAGGAGATCCATGCGAGAGGCTTTATAAACCAGCCAGCCATCCCTCCTTCAAGGCATTCCAGCCCTCCTTTAGGGACACAGCTGTGGTCCCACTGCTTAGAAAAATGCCCAGGCAGAAAATGCATTTGTAGGCAGTAACGTACTCAAATGCACAGGCATCCCCTGCTTTGCAGAAGCCATTCCCCCACCTAAAATCTGCCCACTTCTCTTGTCACTGTTCTGAGGCCATTGCCTCTGGGGTTGTTTTGGATGAAACCTGGTCTGATTGGGTGAAATTGTCATGTGGCAGCTACGTGTCTTTGTTTGGATTGTCTATTTTAGTCCTTCTAACACTAGTCTTTCCATCCCCTACGTTGCCCTCTCTCTTTTTGGCTCCCACATTCACAAGACAGTGTTTGATGAGGCAGAGTCGGGGTGCAGGCACCTCCAAGACAGCTCCCAGCATCTAGTCGCCAAGCTAATAGACTTTCTACAGTGTTGATTTAATTAGAGGGGAACCGGGTCATCTATGCTCGCTCATTTGCTGTGATTTTTTTTTTTTAATTCTAGGTAAAGAGACTTTACCTTGGGATGTTTGTTTTTAAAAAATCATCTTTTGTGTATGGGGTGAGACAGCAGCCTGCAGCGCCCTGAGGTCTAGGGGCGCCCAAAGTGCCCTTTCTTTAAAAAGCTTACATTTACCGTATTTCCAAAAAGATGCCTTGTTTCCCTTTCTGCTGGGCCATGAAAAAAAGCCTGACCTTGTGGTGTGTGACATTTCATCTTGACATCAGCACTGCTGTGTGTCTGTCCTCTTGTAGTCTTTCTTTGTCAAGCCCAGTCCTTGCTTCTGGACTTTGTGTCGGCATGTCAGATGTGGGCCTTCAGATGGAGCCGGGTGGAAGCTGTGTAGCAGTTTCCTGAGCGCGCGGTCTCAGTTCTCAACCTTCTGCTTGGCCCTGGCTCCTCACCACCTCGGCAGTTTGCTTTCGTCGGTTGGTTGTTTCTGGGGGAGTTTAACTGGCCAGGCGTTTCCTGCTCATACCTGTGTGATTTCACTGGCATACTGTGAAGAAAGCATCATTGTGTTTACACACACATGCACAAACTCACATGTATACACATACAGCTAGAATGGAAGCTCCCCGTGGGCAGGAATCTTCTCTCCTTTTCGTCTGTTGTGGGTTGTATACCTTCCGTACGCACAATGTGGTGGGGTCTGACATAGTGGACACCCAACAAAGGCTTGTTCTAAGTGTCTGGAAGTCAGGCTCTCCTGGGCTGAGGAGGCAGGCCCCATTCATGCAGTCCACGGGCAGCTCAGTGGCTGTTTGTTTCTTGAGCCCAGTTCCTCTCCCCACTCCAGGAGCGACTGGTCTTTATTCTCATCTCTGGTGCAACTACTACACACCCAGCTTTCTACTCCAGCAGAGAGGGTGCAGTGTGGCACGGAAAAGCCCAGGCCCTCCCACAACCAGCCCTTCTCTTTTGCAGGGGGAGCTGATCACCTTCTATTACTATTGGAAGAAGACCCCCGAAGCCGCCAGTTCCCGGGCCCATCGTAGGCACCGCAGGCAGGCCGTGTTCAGGAGGATTAAGACTCGCACTGCATCCACACCTGTCAACACACCCTCCAGACCCCCGTCCAGTGAATTCCGTGAGTAGGGGTCTTGGCACCACCGTGGGTGGAGGACAGACTATTCACAGGCAGCCTGTCCTACTTTGGGCCCGTAGGAGCTGGTGGCCCTGGGAAGCACGGAGGGGGCGTGCGCCTGTGCTCCAGTACACATGTGAGGCCTGACCTAATACAGACTAATGGTGGCGGCTGGAGCAGAGCACGGATTCAGAAGGGAGTTTAAAAATTATTTGCACATTTAAATATTTCTGATGAACTCAACATCATCTTAGGTTTTTATAGAATATATAAGTCTTGGCCTGGGATGTTTTTGGGCCTTGGCCTGGGAAGGTTTTCCAGTTGATGGATGATGTACTTGATTTCCTGTTTGAATTCTCATTGTACTTTTGGTTGTATTAAGATCAGATTAACACTTTCTTTTTTTTCCTCTTGTTGTACCAAGATCCTCTTTTTGGTTCCATTATGATGTATAATCTAATGATACTGGAGCCCACACCTTCTCAACCCTAAAAAGCTGGGGTGTAGCAAAAGTACATTATAGCTCTGTTGCGGCCCACGATGCTGGACCTGAGGGGTGCCTGTGTTGTTCATGCAGGCAGCCAGAAATCACCTAGTAGGACTGGTGGGGGATGCTCAGTGAAGACGGACTTTCTCAGGATTGCCTGGGCCTATTAGGGAGGGCGGCACGGACGCACTTGTCCTAGTTCAGACGCACCCATTATGGACATCAGTGGCAGGGCAGGCCCTTCAGTACAGCCCCTCACATGCAGGCCCTCTGTTCTGGTGACTGGCCCTGAGGGTCTCGAAGTGATCCTTTACAGACACTGTCCCACCTCAGCCTGTGCAGCCAGCTGCTCTGACTGGTGGCCAGAACCTGCAGCAGGCCAGAGGTCACAGGGGCCCTGCTTTGACTGAGCATAATGGTGTCTTCCCCATCCGCCCTGTGTGCCTGCCACACCCAGTGGACCTGAGTTCAGCCAGTGAGGATGACTTTGACAGTGAGGACAGCGAGCAGGAGCTGAAGGGGTACGCCTGCCGCCACTGCTTCACCACCAGTAAGTGACCTGTCACACCCCTGGTTTGGGGCCCAGAGCACAAGCACTTTCATGTTCTGAACATTTCATGTATCCAGCTAGAAACCTGCCAGGGGCGGTACTTGATTTGACACTTGCATTGTGCTTCAGGATTGGAGAACATTAGAAATGTTTAGTTTACTTCCTTCCCCTGCTTAGCAGTTGGTATGGAATTCTGACTAATAGGCAGGACAGACTGAGTGGGGTCGGGGTTTGACGCTGTGGTTCCCAGAAGCTTGCTGCCAGCTTTTCCTGAGCACCCCAAGATGGAGTGGGCAGCAGATGTTCCAAAATCCTCTCCTGGCCTTGGGGGAGCAGGGCACCACTAGCCCTGGGGTATTGAGGCCCAGGCCTGCATGGTGCTGGTGGCATCAGGTTTGTGTAGAGCCCACAGAAGGGCCCTCTGCCCAGACATCCCCAGGGAGAGGGATGGTTTCCAAGGTTGGCCCCTGCCACTTCTGTCACACAGCCTCCAAAGATTGGCACCACGGAGGCCGGGAGAACATCCTGCTCTGCACCGACTGTCGCATCCATTTCAAGAAATACGGTGAGCTCCCGCCCATCGAGAAGCCCGTGGACCCGCCACCATTTATGTTCAAACCTGTCAAGGAAGAAGATGATGGGCTCAGTGGGAAGCATAGCATGAGGACACGGCGGAGTCGGGGCTCGGTGAGTCCCCTGGGTCCATGGGGCTCCTGGCAACTTCTTCATTTTCCTGGGATGCTTGGGGGTGGCGCCCATAAGGAGGAGAAAGCAAAAGTCTTGTTTTAGGTAGAAGCAAAGCCCTGGAGGGGAACTGCTTTGCCCAAGGCGGTAGCTTGCCTGTGGGGCTGGGAAGAACCCTCTGTTCTCTTCTCTGAGCGGGCTCTTAGGGTGGTGTCCTGCCCTGGATTTTATAGTGAGCTCTTAGCTTCTGGCTCAGTGCAGCCTCTCCAAGGCCCTCGGAGCTTCTTGCGGCCCAGGGTCACCTCCATTGTAGCAAATCTCTGCTATTTTAAACTTGAAGGCTCTTTGGAGTTTGGTGGGTTTTTTTGTTTTTTAAATGTTTGATCTTGTTTTGGAAACTTCTGGTACATTTTTCTGCTCACTGCCTAGCTCCTCTTATAAAGAGACTTTGTTTCTTAGGTTGGAAATGTGCCAGAGACTTTGGGAGAGGCTTTTTCCAGGTTTGGGGTTAAGGGTACTGACAGTCTTTCCCAGGAGCCTCCCCTGTAGCCCCTTCTCACAGTTGGGTGGGACCATCCACCTTCCTCTGCTCCTTGTGTCCTGTCGCTGCTGCTGCTGGCAGCCCCGCCACTGCTGGCAGCCCCGCCACTGCTCATTCAGAAGGGAACAGGTCAACCAGCCACAACTGTTATTTCCTGATCTCTTCTGAGCCCTCATGGCTTTGCAGAAACAGCGAAGCACTCGGCAGCTTGGAGAGCTGAGCTACTTTATTTCACAGCTTCATCTCTGGGTCACTTCCTATCCTGTCAGATGAAATCCACAAGTGTTTGATTTCATTTGGTTTGTTTGGGAGAGGGGACAGTTATGAGGAATAAACAGAAAGGGCAGGGTGCTTTAAAGATGGCCCCAGGTGACTTTCTGCTGCTCAGAAAGCATGGTTCATTCATTCCAGCACACGTTGTTCAGGACAGTCCCTCAGGATGAGTGCTTTAGGTTTGAGAACCGCTCTCTGGCATGAACCCACCTACTTCCCCACCTCTTCCCTGAGCTCCACACTGACCTTCATGTAGCCAGGGACAGGCAGGGTGCCTGTGTTTGCCAAGGCCTAGGATTTACTAAGAGGCTGCTGGGGTGTGCTCTTCAGGCTCCTGCCTGTGGGTTGGGCTCAGGTGGGCCCACGTGGGGACCGGGAATCCGGTGTCACCAGTCTTTGGTTTGGGTGGTTAGATGTCGACACTACGAAGTGGTCGGAAGAAGCAGCCAGCCAGCCCTGATGGTCGCACCTCACCCATCAATGAAGACATCCGCTCCAGCGGCCGGAACTCCCCCAGCGCTGCCAGCACCTCCAGCAATGACAGTAAAGCAGAGACAGTGAAGAAGTCAGCCAAGGTCAGGTGCTGGGGCAGTGGTAGGGGCTACTCTGTCCTTCCCTCCCATTAAAACTGGGTCGCTGGTGTTTGTGTTCAGCTCCATCAGATATGGATATGAAGTTCATTCATGGAGCTTCTCTGGGCACCAGCATTGTCCTGGCCTAGGGGCTGCAGAGTGGGGACCGGGGACTTAGAGAAGGGGGATCCAGCACCAATCCTGGGGGCCACCTGTGCCTCGAGCTTCCCGAGTTCTCAAAGGTAGACAGTGTGGGGCGTGGTTGGAAGGGCTCCCTCCAGAGCCAAGTGCAGCCCTCCTTCAGCATCCATTGGAGATTGGTTCCAGAGCCCCCATCACCCAGGATACCAGAGTCCACGGGTGCTCAGGTCTCTTATATACATTGACACAGTGTTTGCATATAACCAGTCACATACTTCTGTAGATTCTGAATCATCCGTAGGTGACTTCTGTTGCCTAATACTATGTAACTGCAGTAAACAGTGGTTCCTCTGTCTTGTGTAGGAGATAGTGACAAGAAAACAGTGGGTACATTCAGTACAGGCGTAACCATCACAGTCCTGACTACATTTTCATCCATGGTTGTTTGAATCTGAGGATGTAAAGCCCACAGATGTGGAGGACTGACTCACTCCTACCCCCAGATGTGTGTTCTCCCTGGCCCCAGTTGATTCTTCTGGAGCTTTTTGCTCCTGGAGATGGAACTCAGAATGAGGGAGCAAAGTATCTACAAACCGTTGTCATTTCCCTGCTGAGGCTGATGGGATGGCCTCCCTTGGCTTGATTGCTCTTTGTGGGCTTTCCCCCTGCAGAAGGTGAAGGAGGAAGCTTCTTCCCCTCTTAAGAGCACCAAACGCCAGCGGGAGAAGGTGGCCTCTGATACGGAGGAGGCTGACAGGACCAGCTCCAAGAAGACAAAAACGCAGGTGAGGTTTGCCGCTGAGCCTTGCGGACTAAAGCTAACGAGTCTTCAGAAGCCCCCAGCCTGGGTTCTCCCAGTCAGGTAGCTGTGCCCCATCTCCCAGGGCGGGGCTGGAGTGGCCCTTGCCACGGCTGGGTGGGGGCAGGACCTATGGTCCTGGAGCCAAGCCTGTGCTTCATCTGCGCAAACCCTTATTGTGTTAGACCCTGGCAGTGCTGAGCAAAGAGGGCTCTGCCCTCCTGAGACTTCCATCCTTCCCTTCTCTGACTCCAGGAGATCAGCCGACCCAACTCACCATCTGAAGGTGAGGGAGAGAGTTCAGACAGTCGCAGCGTCAACGATGAGGGCAGCAGTGACCCCAAAGACATCGACCAGGACAATCGCAGCACGTCCCCGAGCATCCCCAGCCCCCAGGACAATGAGAGTGACTCGGACTCATCAGCCCAGCAGCAGATGCTGCAGGCCCAGCCCCCAGCCTTGCAGGCTCCCACCGGGGTTGCCCCAGCTCCCTCTGCAGCTCCTCCAGGGACACCCCAGCTGCCCACGCCAGGGCCCATGCCCTCTGCCACTGCAGTGCCCCCACAGGGTTCCCCCACGGCCTCCCAGGCCACTCACCAGCCGCAGGCTCCCACAGCACCTGCTCCCCACACCCACATCCAACAGGCCCCTGCCCTGCACCCCCAACGTCTGCCCTCGCCGCATACCCCGCTGCAGCCTCTGACTGGGTCTGCGGGCCAGCCCTCCGCACCCCCTCACGCCCAGCCCCCTCTGCATGGTCAGGGTCCACCTGGCCCTCACAGCCTGCAGGCTGGGCCCCTGCTACAGCACCCAGGCCCCCCGCAGCCATTTGGCCTCCCTCCCCAGGCTTCCCAAGCCCAGCCCTCTCTGGGGACCTCCCCGGCAGCAGCGCACCCTCACACCTCCCTGCAGCTGCCAGCCTCTCAGTCTGCGATGCAGTCCCAACAGCCGCCACGGGAGCAGCCCCTGCCACCAGCACCCTTGGCCATGCCCCACATCAAGCCCCCACCCACCACTCCCATCCCCCAGCTGCCGGCGCCGCAGGCCCACAAGCACCCTCCCCACCTCTCGGGGCCTTCACCCTTCTCCATGAACGCCAACCTGCCACCCCCTCCAGCCCTGAAGCCCCTGAGCTCCCTGTCCACACACCACCCACCCTCGGCCCACCCCCCACCCCTGCAGCTCATGCCTCAGAGCCAGCCATTGCCCTCCTCCCCCGCCCAGCCCCCCGGGCTGACCCAGAGCCAGAGCCTGCCCCCACCTCCTGCCTCCCACCCCCCTACAGGCCTCCACCAGGTGGCCTCCCAGCCCCCATTTGCTCAGCACCCCTTTGTCCCTGGGGGCCCTCCTCCTATCACCCCTCCGACCTGCCCTTCCACCTCCACCCCACCGGCTGGACCTGGCACCTCGGCCCAGCCACCCTGCTCTGTTGCGGTGACTTCAGGAGGCAGCATAGCGGGGGGGTCATCCTGCCCACTCCCCACCGTCCAGATCAAGGAGGAGGCCCTGGACGATGCTGAGGAGCCCGAGAGCCCCCCTCCCCCTCCAAGGAGCCCATCTCCTGAGCCCACTGTGGTGGACACCCCCAGCCACGCCAGCCAGTCTGCTAGGTATGCTTCCTAGGGCTCTGGGTGCAGGGCAGGCAGAGGTGGGCTGGTGGGAAGCAGGGCCCGCGGTCGGTCTTGGCAGGAGCTCCCAGCAAGATCTCTGGCTTTTCTCAGGTTCTACAAACACCTGGACCGGGGCTACAACTCGTGTGCACGGACAGATCTGTACTTCATGCCTCTGGCTGGGTCCAAGCTGGCCAAGAAGAGGGAGGAGGCCATCGAGAAGGCCAAGCGTGAGGCTGAGCAGAAAGCCCGAGAGGAGCGAGAGCGGGAGAAAGAAAAGGAGAAGGAGCGAGAGCGGGAGCGGGAGCGGGAGCGGGAGGCCGAGCGGGCGGCCGTAAGTCCGGGGTTGGTGAGGTGTGAGGGGCGCGGGAGCGGGCGGCCGTAAGTCCGGGGTCGGTGAGGTGTGAGGGGCGCTGGGCTGTCCTGGGCCTGGGTGCCACGCCAGGCCACCCAGTTCTGCCCTTGGCTGCCTGGCTCGGCCTCCTGGCAGCTAGAGTGTTGGGTGCAACTTACACCCTCTCTCCATGCTTCTGACGGGTGCTACACATCCCCCAGCTGCTGGGGTGACTGTGCCTGGCAGGGCTGGGCTGACTCACAGCAGTGACTGGGTGTCCTCCTGCCTGTGGGCCTCTGAGGAAAGGGCCTGTCCTTCCCCTGCAGCCTGTGGGTTTGTCTCTTCTACGGAATTTGAAAGAGCCAGGGAGGAGCACAAGGGGCCCCCTGGGAGAAGACCCGAGCACTTGGGTGGTAACCAGGCCATGAGGGGCCTCTCTAGCCGCCCTGTCTGGTGGGCCCCTCATGGGCTGGGTGCTGTGATGGTGGCCAGCTCTGTGCTGTCGCAGGGAGGAAAGGGCAGCCAGCCCAGGAAGTGGCATGAGGGCTCCCGGCAAGGCTCCTGGCCTGCTGGGCTCATTCACACGTGCACCCCAGCTGTCACTCCCAGACACACACGTAGACCCCCCCACACGAGCTTTGTCTCACAGGGAAACACCTACCTGAGCCTGAGAGGAGCTGCTGGCCCAGGTGAGCCCTGGACTTAGGGCTGGTGTCAGCCCAAAGTCGAGGCCGGGCTCCGTGGAGGGACCAGGTTGGCCTGTCAGAGCAGGGCCAGGCCCACCTCTGCAGCGTGGGCCCAGCGGAGACCCCTGGCACTCGGCAGACCCCTCATGCTTTCTTTTCCCTCGGCAGAAGGCGTCCAGCTCAGCACACGAAGGCCGCCTCAGTGACCCCCAGCTCAGTGGTCCAGGCCACATGCGGCCATCCTTTGAGCCACCGCCAACCACCATTGCTGCTGTGCCCCCCTACATTGGGCCCGACACGCCGGCGCTTCGGACTCTGAGCGAGTACGCCAGGCCCCATGTCATGTCACCCACCAACCGCAACCACCCCTTCTACATGCCCCTCAACCCCACGGACCCCCTGCTGGCCTACCACATGCCCGGCCTCTACAACGTCGACCCCACCATCCGCGAGCGCGAGCTCCGTGAGCGGGAGATCCGGGAGCGGGAGATCCGGGAGCGGGAGCTGAGGGAGAGGATGAAGCCGGGCTTCGAAGTGAAGCCCCCAGAGCTGGACCCCCTGCACCCAGCCGCCAACCCCATGGAGCACTTTGCCCGGCACAGCGCCCTCACCATCCCCCCGACCGCCGGGCCCCACCCGTTTGCTTCTTTCCACCCGGGCCTGAACCCCTTGGAGAGGGAGAGACTGGCCCTGGCGGGCCCCCAGCTGCGGCCCGAGATGAGCTACCCTGACAGACTGGCCGCTGAGCGCATCCACGCAGAGCGCATGGCGTCGCTGACCAGCGACCCCCTGGCCCGACTACAGATGTTCAACGTGACTCCGCATCATCACCAGCACTCACACATCCACTCCCACCTCCACCTCCACCAGCAGGACCCCCTCCACCAAGGTGCGTGCCCCAGCGTGGCAGGTGGGACAGAGGCACGGGGAGGGGTGCAGAGCCAGATCAGCAATAGTCACCATCCAGGCGCAGAGCACGTTCTTTTCTGAACAGACCCCTCATTCCTGGCAGATCTTAGAATAGTTCAGCACCCACCTACAATCCCGGTTTGCTGTGTCACAGTCTCTCCTCGGCCCGGAAGCTCTCCAGAACTGCAGGGCCTCAGACAGCTGCAGTGCACAGGTGAAGCCTGGGCTCTTGGCCCTGTGCCTGGGATGGAGGGACGTGGCCTAGGCCCACGGGGCAAGGGAAGGGCAGCAAAGCACAGGGTCATGTGGCCTTTGGAGTCAAGGAGCATAAGGTGAAGCACTGGGCTACTCAAAGGTCACTTAGTAAGAATTCAAAGCACAGTCCTCTTCCCTTGAGAAGCAAGGCTGGGCAGGGCTCCTGCAGACTTTAGCTGAGTTCTCCTAGCCGACCCACCTGGCGAGGGCTGCCTGGTCCTCTCCACCCTGGGAGAAGGAGCTCCTTAAGGCTGCTCACGGACCAGCTGTGGGGAGGCTGATCTGAGGCAGAGGCAGGCACAGCTGGCATCCTTACTCCCTCTGCAGCTGGTGCTGCTTGTGAGGAGGCAGGCGCACCCGCCCCGTGGGACTCGGGGGTCCAGGTCCCGTGGTGCAACCTCCATGCAGGGCTTCCTTACCCGCCACCCTCCAGTGTTGGGCAAGAGGATGGCTGATAGGGCAGGGCCCAGAGGGAAGGCAGGCAGCCACCTCTCCTGCCTCTGCTCCAGGTCCTGACATGGGAGTGCACTCACCATTGCTGCCCTCAGACCTAAAGTTCTGTGCGCACCTGGGGTGGACCTTAAAAGCCTCAGTAGAGCCAGTATATGAGGGCAGGGTGTCATTTGTTCATTCATGCATCATCCGTTCATTCAGCAAGTGTTTACTGGACAACTGGGATGTGCCAGGTATAGTTGTAGGTGCTGACAAAACCCCCGTCCATATTTACGTTCCAGTTTGGAAAGACGGTTGAAAGACATCTGCCAGGTTGTGAGAGGTGGGAAGTGGATGTTCTGGGAGAAAATAAATCCAGAAGAGGAGATCAGGAGAGCTGGGGGTGGGGGCGGGGGCAGTGTGGCAGTTTTGGGAAGGCCGTCAAGAGAGGCTCGATGAGGAGGTAGCAGAGACACGGAGGAGGTGAAGGGCAAGCTGTGGGAAATCAGTGCAAGAGCAGCCACAGAGGTGGAGGGAGAGCTCAAACCTGCCAGGGACCATGAAATTCCTGCCAGCACCTGTCGGCTTGAGCCAGGGGATAGGAGATGAGGGCAGGAGGGGCACGGTGGGGCCTGATCAAGGCAGCATTCTGAAGGTAAGACATAAGATTTGGTGCCAGCAGAGAAGAGAGGGCAGTGTCAGGCCAGGTCCCCGTTCAGTGCCTGCTCTGCTGGCCTCCTTTGGGTTCTGCGAGTGAAGGGCAGGGAGACAGCCCTGGGCAAGGGGTGCCAGCCCAGCACCGACTGGGGTAAGGTGGTGTATTCCTGTGACCTGACAGGCAGAGGGCAGGCCCAGGTGGCCAGGGAGAGGGACCCTGCCAATCCCAAGTCCTTGACAAAACTGGCCTGGGGTTGCCTGGAAGGGGTGCTTCACAGTGGGAGAGGAAGTGCCTTCATCAGCAGTGGGCTTATCACTTCTCTCTGCCTCTATAGCTCTCACTGAAGGTGGAGGCAGCCACTTTAGGGCAGGGCCACCTGCAGTCAGGTGGTACCATCCATCCCTGGTGACCAGGAGCCAGCCAGGGCGAGGAGGAAGTCACTCACTGGGATAAGCATTGAAGAGCCATGCACCACCTCTATCTGGCATTTTGTCCTTTTCTTAGGTTCAGCGGGCCCCGTCCACCCACTGGTCGACCCTCTGACTGCCGGCCCTCACCTGGCTCGCTTCCCCTACCCCCCTGGCACTCTCCCCAACCCTCTGCTTGCACAGCCCCCCCACGAGCACGAGATGCTTCGCCATCCAGTTTTTGGTAAGACTTCCCCTCTGGGAGGGGCAGGGGACTGTGTGAGAGTTGGGCTGGGGTCTCGTCTGCTGTCTTCAATCATTTATTCATGTATTGAGCAGGTGGGTTTGTGCACCCTATATGCCAGGGGTCCCTGGGGGAACAAGCTTCCTGCCCTCTGGGGACTGCCTGGGGTTGGGGATCCTAAATGCATCAGCCTTGCTGAGAGCCAGGACTGCAGGGCCGGTAAAAGGAGCAGAGGAGGCTCATGGCAGGCCTCTGAAGGCACAAGGCACTTAGGCTGAGGCCTGGAGCATGCAGAGGAGGAGCCAGGCCGGATCCAGGCTGAGGCACCCAAGGGCATCTTCTACTTCCCCGGAGGCTCTGCCCTCCCGCTGTCTGCAGAGTCTGGGAGGGGCTGGCTCCTGTGTCCATGTTGGCCATCTCTCCTGTGCTCCCTGCTGCTCGCTGTGCTGGTGCCACTGTGGTCCTGGCCAGTCCTCTGGCTGTTTCTATAGCACGGGTTGTTTTGTGTCTGGCAGGCACCCCCTACCCTCGAGACCTGCCTGGGGCCATCCCACCCCCCATGTCAGCAGCCCACCAGCTGCAGGCCATGCACGCCCAGTCGGCCGAGCTGCAGAGACTGGCCATGGAGCAGCAGTGGCTGCACGGACACCCCCACATGCATGGTGGCCACCTACCAAGTCAGGAAGATTACTACAGGTGAGGCGGGGTGCTAGGCGGGAGTGGAGGGGTGTCTGAGCCCAGCCTCCCACCAACCCACAGGTGCCCATGGTGTTTCTCCCATAGTCCCCACTGCCGGATTCTTCCCATCAAGCTGCTGGGCCCTAGAGGGGACACCGTGAAACCACGGCACTGGGAGAAACGAGGAAGGGAGGTGTTGGGAGGATGGGTCAGCTGCGCCAGAGGGTGCGGGCTGGGGTTGGATTGCCTGGCTGTTGCCTTTGGGGCTGCTGCCCACCTACCCAGACCGGAGACTAAACACACTTTCCTGTTTTGTCTTCCCAGTCGACTGAAGAAAGAAGGTGACAAGCAGTTATAAGTTATTTATTTCTTAACGCCGGCTGTGGAAACCCCAGTTCTTGGGGGGGAAACAGGACTTTTTACATACAGTAGGAGCTGCAAAAGCAAAAAGAATATCTTCTAAAGATTTCTTTATATATTTAAAAACCACAACTGAAAATGTACCCACATAATAGTGTTCGTTTGTCGAGAGGATTTCCTGAGACTGGTTTGGATCTCCCTGCATGACAGTCCCCCAGAAACTTAGTGAGTCCTGGACTGGACTGAACATTCAGAAAGCTTCCCTGCAATCTTGGGGTTTGCTTTAGTTTCTTCTTGATTTCTCCGTAGGTGCTAGAATCCAGTTCCCACCCTTCACTGTGCGCTCGCAGACACACTCCGTGACGAGTGTCCAGAACTCGCAAGCTTTGCAGATAGGTGGCATATGAATTTGGAATCCAAGAGCTATAATTTTTAAAAAAAAATCTTTTATTTTAATACATTGTAGGAAATCTTCATAATTTGAGAAAGTTCTGCAGCATGGCTTTTTACGTCTGTAAATAAATAATTTTAGAACAGCCTTTTTTTTCTTCCATAAACTACTATTGTGATCTATTTTTTCCAGCCATGTCACTAATTGTGAATTCCTACCAACTATTGACAGAATACAGAGTTGATTTTTTAATAAAAAGTTATATATAATTATCCCTTTAATTAAAGGGAGCAAAGGGGCGTTGCCCGTGGGCAGAGGCTTGGCCGAGGCCTGGTCACAGCAGTAAGCATCCAGGGCTGGCGGGGGTGAAGTTTTGCCCCTTGTGTTTCACGTCTGTCTGCTCCTAGCCTGTGCTCTGCCAGCTCTGCAGACGTCTGTCCATCAGACCTCTTCCAGTTTGCACAGGGAGTGCAGGCAGTGAATGCTCGCTTTCTGTTCCCCGTGTCACTGTTCTGTTTCCACGGGATGGAAAGCATGTGGTCCTGTGTCCATTGTAGATTTCCTTCTAGATTTCTATGTACGCATACTTGATTGCTCTGGATGAATGCCTTTTTAAATACTCTGAAAATTTCATAATCTAAGAAATTCAAGAAAATGATTCCATACGAATAACTCGGCACATGAGCGACCCAGGACATATGCCTGCCAAAGGGATCTGTTGGAAGGCTGCCCTTTCATGCACATTGTCATCTAGATCTTATGGTGAGGATGGCCCATTCTTGCCACAGACCAAGGCTGCTTTTGAGCGAGGGAGACCCTGGAGTTAGACAGGTGTTGGGGGTGGCCTGCATTTTCCCCCAGGAGTAGGTCTGCGTGGCGACCCATGTTGCACTGGCAAACCACTGGAGTCCCACTCTTCATCCTGGAAGTGGGAACTGGAGTCCCTTCCACAAATGTGAGGTCAGAAAGCAGGCTTCCGCCTGCGGCACAGCTGCTTAGGAGGCCAGGCCCCTCCGAGCAGAACTGTCCTGGAGAGAGCCTGCCCTCCTCTCCAGGTCGCAGCCATAATGCACTTTCTCCCAGGCCAAGGATGGGTGTTTTGGGGTGTCTGCCCTCTGTCAGCTCTGCTTCCTGCCAGGATGTGGCCTTTTCCCATCCTCTTATCTCAGACATTAGATGGCTTTTCTGCCATTGTTTGTGCTGGTCCCATCCCAAGAATTGTAGGGCAGAGAGACCACAGTAGGTCAGCAGACAGAAAGTCCATCTAGGACCCAGGCCGCAGAGGAAGCAGGAAGAGAGGCTGATAGTTTGATCTAGAAACCAGCAGGTATTAGCTCAAATCCAGGTTCTGGAGTCATATAAGGGCATTCCCAGTTTCTCTTAAAAACCATGTTTGGTTTCAGTTGGGAAAGGATTGTTCTATCTATTGAAAATGTTTATAGTTTATTTTTCTTCTTTCCATTTTTCTCTCATTCCATCTCTGCCTTAACTTTAGTTCCTTAGTGGGGAGGCAAGCTCACATTAACCTTCTGTCATCAGACTTCAGGCTGCATTGGCTTGGAGGCATTTATTTCCTCGTGGGGTGGGACGGGGCCTCGTGGCAGGCTTGTTGGAGGCTCCCACTGGGGCCTCTTCCTGCTGGGCTCCCAGGCCCCTGCATCCATGCCCTCTCCTTCTCTCCTTTTGGGTTTTCTTGCTTGCTTGCTTTTCGGTGGAGCACAACATCTACCATTCAGTTAAACCTTCTTTGTCTCTTCCTCTGTCATCTGTTTTTCCAAAGAAGAGAAAGAGTGGAGTACTCTGAGGTCTGTACTTGAAAGCTGTCCGAAGGTGTTCTCTTGTTAGGTTTGCATTTCTCCCCATATCCCAAGGTGAAGCACTGAGATTCTTCCATTTAAAAACCTTGACCCGAAACCCTCACCAGATCAATTGCAATTTCTCTGGGAGGCCCTGTGTCTTTGAAGCCCAGCCGCTCAGTTTCCTCTGGACTTTCCTCCCTTTGTTTGGGGTTTGGTTTGGCTCCTCTGTGTGTCCCCGTATCTTGTTGAGTGTCGTTGAGGTTGAGCTTCACTCCACTGCGGCAGAGCCAGAGTGCACATTCGGATTTGCTACGTTTCTATATATCTTGAAGCTAAATGTATATATGAGTAGTTTGCCATGAGATAACACAGTGTAAACAGAGTAGACACCCAGAAATCGTGACTTCTGTGTTCTCTCCATTTGAGTATTTTGTAATTTTTTTGAAATATTTGTGAACATAAATAAAACCAAGCTACACTACAGCCCCTGGGTGTCTCCCGTGCACTGTCTCATTCTGGAGGGTGGGCGGGGATCCTGGCTGTTACCCAGGTGGGGGACAGGCAGAGGGAGAGTCAGCTTTTCCCTGCTGCTGGGGATCCTGTTTGCGTCCCAGAGAGGTTTCCAGAAACATCCTTGTTAGCTCTGTCTGGGAAGAGGATTTCTCTGGTGGTGGTGCCTGCTTTCTTTGGAGGCTCCCCAAGCAGCCGGATGGGCCCTAAGCGGGCATTTGGACCAAGGGCATCCTCCCCACCCCTCGCCATTCATCCCACACCTCTATAATCTGTGGGCATCGCTGGCGTGTAAGGGCATATGGCACACTTCCTGCTTAGGAAGAGACATCGCAACCGCCCCCCAGCCTAGAGGCTACCTGTCTGGACCCCATCAGTCTCTTCTCAAAGCCTGTCAGTGCCTCCGTTCACCCCCCACCCCCCATCCAGCTCTACAGTAGCCCTCTAGGTAGAGGATGCGTCTCAGGCCTAAGGAGGTGTAACCTTCCTAAGGGGCAGCAGGTGGCCTGCAGGGTGTGGACACGGCCACAGAGGGACAGGTGTTGTTAGAATTTGCACTATGGCTTCAGAACCTGTCAAGGGCATTTTCCTGAAGCCTCAGATTGTCCCCAGAAATGTGTTTGCACCCCTTGTCATCTGGGATAGGGCTGTGAGTTTCTAGATGTTTCGGGACATGAGGCAAGAACAGCCCAGAAAGCTCACTGTTGGTAAACTGCCCTCAAACCAGGCAGGGTCCGCCACGTGATAAAGATTTGGGGAGCAGCAGACGCCAGGCACTGCCTCACTCAGGACCTGAGAAAACGTCGCCATGCCGGGACTCGATTGTCCACGCGGGACTTGAGGCGAACGGCAGGGTCCTGCTCCACAGCTGACCAGGGCACAGGGTCACGGAGGTCCAGGTGGCTGTCAGTCAAGGTCCTGAGTGAGAGGATGGCATTGGGGTGGCTGGGAGAGGCCGGAATCCAAGCGCCATCTTCACGGGTCTCACCCGGACTGTGCTCCTTAGGAAGCTGCAGCGTATCATGGGTACAGGTCTGTGAAGTACAGATTTCAGAGTGGTGCAACAAGGCTCTCATCAGAGCTGGGCAGCTTCTCCGGCATGGACAGCTGTGGCCATTGTCACCACTCTGCCACACACTCGTGAGGAAGAGGGCCAGAAAATGCTAACCAGACATCTGCTGAGTGGACGGGAGGAGGAGGAGGGCAATGGGGCCATCCTCCAGCAGCCCGCTGAAGCCAGGCCCTTGCCTCTTGCTGCCCCAGTAACGTCCTTTGTGCCCTCTGCCCCTGGTTCCTGGAAATGCATCCCCAGCTTGGGCACGGTGGCTCAAAAGCCCCACTGGTTCCGCTGCAGGTGGGCTAGGAAGATGGCACTTTGCAGGGCATGGTGTAAGTCCCAGGGTCTCAGCACAGTGTAGGTGCGCAGCTGGGTATGTGGCTGTTGTTGCTAAGTACGCATGGTAAGTCCAGGGACAGGAGGCCTCACTTAGGCCGCACCTGGGTGAGTCAAGATCATGTATCTGAAGGTCAATGGCCTCCCACATAGGCCCTCAGAATTCAGCACTCGTGAGCTGTACAATTGTAGATGTGATCGGCTGATGAGCAGTGGGGGGGGCAGTGGATGGTCAGGGCCAGAGCCCTTCTGTGTGGAAGCTGAGGAGACATGGGGACCCCTCATCTGAGCTAAGAACCCTCAGTGGCCCCATCCTGACCATGCGGTGAGACCCAGGGCAGTGTGGCTGGGCACGAACACAGACTTCAGTGACCACCATCAGCCTCACCTGACCAGCCCAGAAGGTCCAGGCACATACCTGAACTCAGAGCTTTGACATCAGAACCAGCTACCCAGACATGGGATGAAGCTGCCAGGCCCCAAGACCAGTGGAAAAATCTATCCTGCCCTAGACTCCTGGGGACCTTCCTGCTGCCTGGTGGAGACCCGGAAACAGTGGAGTCCTTGGCCTCCCTACCCCCTCCTAGGGAGGATCTGCCAGATGAGCCAGCCACGGGAGGCTGCCGCGCACTTGGCCATCCGGGTTGACTGACATGGGCTGCAGCATAAAGCCAGCCCTTTCTCGTTCATGAGGTTCCTGGACCTCCCTTTGGAAGGCAGGGGCTGGCTGGAGCTGGGATCCATTGTGAATGAGGTCCAGCTGCAGATGCCTCACCGAGTCCTCTCAGAGGCGGCATGGTCAGCCTTTGGAGGTCTCGGTATCTGAGGTCCTTTCCCTGAGTCTCCACTGGGTTCCTAGCTGCCCTGAGAGCCCTGGCAGCTCAAGCCCTGGTTCTCTGTTCCTCTAACTCAAGGTGGCTTCTCTAGTGTCTGCCTTTGCCAGGAGAGGTCATTGTTTCCTTTTGACACCTCAGGGATCCAGGCTGCAGAAGGCCCCCTGTAACTCCCGCGGCCCAGCTGTGTGTGTGCACAGGCACCCGGGCCCTTGTTACTGAAACAGGCAAGTTCTGTGTAGAAGGCACTTGCTCTGTAGTTATTTGCTGAATGGATGGATGGATGCATGCAAGAATGAATGAACGAATGAATGAATGAGTGGGCCCTGCAGGGCAAGGTTCCTTGCTGCAGTACAGATGTGCTGTTGGGAAGGCGGTGTGAAGGGCGGGATAGAAGGACCTTTCTGGTTGAGTCGGGAAGGCTTTCCAGGGACTTCCCGACTCCTCTGCTGGGCGCCTGGTGACCCTCCCTTCACATTCTCCTGACTGTGTGGGCGCTGCAGCTCCTCTGACCCCAGCCCTGGTTAACACCATCTTAGAAGTGGGGAGTGGGGCTTGGGGGATCGGCCTTTGGTGAACCCCTAGGGTACGAGCAACCATTGGAGTAAATGTAATTAGAAACAGGCTTTTAGGGCACCTTTTAGTTGACCCAGAGAGGATTCCTGAGGCCATTTCTTGTCTATCCCATTGTTTTCTGGGCAACTGACCACCCAGCCCTCTCTATCCCCTTGGACCCTGCTGCTGGGCAGCGGTTGAACAGAGTCCATCCCCATCCTAGCCACCAGGTGGCAGTAGTTACAAGGCCGAGGTGCCCGCCCTGGTCCCGAGGCCGCCAGGAGACCTGTGGCCCCGGGTGGCGACCGGCAAGGCAAGGCTCCAGCGGCGAAGATGGGGAAGGCTGGAGGGTTTGGCAGTGAGTACTGTCTAAAAGATCCAACGTTTCCCAGAAGCAGGTGGCTGGACAGGCGGGTCAGAGATCAAGGGGCAACTGGAACAGGCCCCAGCACAACAGGGTGTGGAGATGGCTGGGAGGAGGGGGCTGAGTGGGGCAGGGGAGGCTGGCGGCTTGGGCAGGTAGGCAAGGTAGGCGCGACTGTGAGAACGAGGGCAAAGGTCTTGCCTAGAGACCAGGAGGTTTCTTCTGTTCTCCGCTGCATCCCCAGGGCTTGGGCGGGTACGTGGTGGGAACTCAGTCAACATGCTTTTATGGAAGAGGATCCCAGAATGGGCATCAGCCGTGAATGACTTCCAAGAATCAGACTCTGATAACTGTGCCCTCACGCCCTGAAAAGCGCCCTGAGAAGCTGCTGGGAGTCCTTATGTGCCACGAAAGTACCCACCCCCCGTTCCAGACACCCGCTCCCAGCGGGGGATGGTATGTCATGCCCCACATGTTGCGTGGATTCTGCAGACGCTCCCAGCGAGTGCAGGGAGGGCCGGGACCCCCCGACTGCTGGGGACCCAAGCGATGGTCAGTTCTTGCATATTCCAGGGAAATCACCTCTGTTCTGCCAGAAACCTGTAGCCCAGCCTGGCGAGTGTGGGAATGCCATCTTACACTGTCCTGGTCCCCCAAGGGATGGTCCAGGGTGAGCCCAACAGCCTAGAGAGGTAGAAACAAAACCCAGGGAGGTGATGACCTCGAGTACAATTCCTTTGCTTTGATGCTGGGTTTCCACGCTAAGGGTCATGGGCAGTGCTTGAAGGCAGTTAGGTGTGTCTCATCCGAGTGGTATCAAGGAATGGGAGCCACTTTCCAAGTTTGCTGGAGGGAAAGTCGGGAGTGCCTTCAGATCTTGGTGGCGCAGTTACTTTTGAGTGGCCTGAGAAGTGTGAGTCTTGCGGAGCGCTGGCCTGTAAAGCAAGTGGCCTTCTCCTGCTGTCCCCTCACCTCTGAATGGAATGAGAAGCTCCCTCCAAGCTGAGCTCCCTGGAGAATGAGCCCAAGGCCTCCCTGCAGCAGCGCAGTGTTCAGGAGGCAGACAGGGAAGGAAGCTGCCTGCCCTGTGAGCTGTCACAGCACTCCTGAGGTACTCAGCGGCATGAGGCTGGAGTCACACTCCCTGGGCTCAAACCCCACCCTGTTGTGACCTGGGCCAGGTGCTGGGTATGCTTGTCTCAGCGTTGAGGTCTGTCCAATGGGGGAATGATACCTCCTTCCCAGAAAGGTGGGAGGATGGATTAAGATGCACGTGGCCGCATGCGTAGTGAGGACTTGGCAAACAGCAAGCAGCGGTGACTACTGACATCATTACTGCTTGAGTTTCAAGTAGACAGCAATCCTCTCCAAGATGTGGAAGGCAAATGAGTGTGGCTCTCGGTGAGTCCCGGACCTCCTGGTTTGGAGCCAGTGGCTGCTGCCACTGCCATCTGCTGGGAACAGACCTGACGGTCAAGGCAGCTTTTTGGACCTGGCCCGAGGGCAGTACCCCCACAGTTTGGGAGGCAGGGCAGGTGCTCAGAAAAGAGCCTGACAGCAACAATTCCCAAGTGTAGAATCAATCTTTGTTTTGTTAGAAAGTTCCAGGAAGAGGGCCTAGGATTTGACAAGCCAAGAGTAAGAGGGAAACCCCCTATTCTTCATTTTGACCAGTTCTGGGCAAAAACAGCCCAGACTAGAGGACAATCACCCAACCCCACATTTTCTAGAAAGTCTGAAGCTCTTCCAAGCAACATCAATGTCAACAGGATAAGTCTGCAGTTCCGGGAGAACCGCAGGGCCTATGTCCATGGAGGCCCAAAGGAGCTGTGTGACTTTGAAAAGCCACTAAACCTCTCTGTGCTTCAGCTATGCGTGCATCAGGGACCACGAGACCCACCTCACTGAGCTCATGACCATGAAGGGTAAAGCAGCATCACATGAAGGCACAGGGAAATAATCACCGGCTCCAAGCAGGGTGGACTGCACGGGGGAAGTGGCATTTCAGACATTTCTACATGGATGAATCAGATATTGATGGGCAGAGAAGAGGTGGCCTTGGCCTGCAGGAAGAGCCTAAACACAGGCACAGACTGTGGCCCTCGAGGGTTCTGTGGCTACAGTCCAGGGGGCTGGCAATGCAGCAGGTGGCCAGCTTAGGAAGATGGGCTGGGCTGTTTGGTGGGAGGAGTTTCCGCCTGATTCCTTAGGCTCCAGGGAGCCAGGGTAGGTGTCATGGAAGACTGGAAGACAAGATGGGCTCAGGCCTGTGTCTATAGGCCCCCAGCTTCAGGGTGGAGGATGGGTGTGATGGTAGACGGGAGGCCAGGAGTCAGGCAGGGGCACAGAGAGGAGCGGCCTGACCCCCTGTGAGCCCACACAGGCCACTGGGGCTCCAGGCGGCAGTGGGCAGTGGCACTGAGGAAGGCTGTGGCCCAGGGTGGCGGTTGGGGCTCTGGTGGGAAGGTCATAACCAAGGTGGGGAGGCCGTGGTTGGGAGGGAGGCTGTGGCCCAGGTGGGGAGGTGGCCTTTCTAACTGGTCACAGCAAGATGATAGGACACTGTCATGAACCCCAGACTTCCCCCGGCTGGCAACAGGCCCTGGAACCCCTGTCGTTTGTTTTGGATTTGTGGTCAAGGATGTCTCATATGTCCCCAGAACACAGCATGCAGTGAGGAATCTGGGGGCTATACAACCCCATGCCAGGCCCAGCGCGGTAACAACGGGGACCCGGCCGTGACCACTCGTGGCCAGTAATTAGCATGCGGGGAGGAGCCCTCCCAGGCCTCTGGGAAGGGGCCTCAGTGAGCTCTTGGTGTCAAGTGATGGAAGATGGTTAGAGGCCAGATGGCAAGGGACTGCCACACTCTCGAGAGCTTTGCCAGGTCCATAAAGGGACACTGGGAGGCAGTGGGCACAGCCCAGGCAGACCCAGGCCCAGCAGTGCCCACACATAGCAGGCACATGGTGTCCACCTGAGGAATGAACGCTCAGCAGATGGACAGGGAAGAATGGCCCGAACTTCACCCTCCAGTCCCTAGTAGGCCTCCCTGCTAGGGACTCCCCTGCCTGTGGAGTCAAAGGGCAGGATAGGCACTGACCTCCTTAAAATTCCAACTTGGAGGACATTTTACAATCCATGCACCTTGGTGCCTGTGCTCCCTCGAACCTGCCAAGTAAATGCTTACCTCAGAGATCCCTCCCTCACGCCATCAGTCCCCTGCTCAAACAGCACCTCACTAATGAGGACACCCCTGCCGCCCTGTCCTCCTTCCCTGCTCTTGCGCTGCACGGAACCTCAGCCAGCCATGTGTTTCCCTTCCTCTCACATCGGTTCCACCAGGGAAGAGTGGACACTCACAGATGGATCCCCAGGCCAACCACTGCCTGCCACACGCGGGCACTTGTCGGATATCTGGAGTGTGGATGGATGGATGGATGGACGGATGGATGGATGGATGGACGGATGGATGGATGGATGAATGGACGGATGGATGGATGGATGGATGGATGGATGGACGGATGGACGGATGGATGGATGGATGGATGGACGGATGGATGGATGGATGGGGAAGTGGATATCTGGAGTGTGGATGGGTGGATGGATGGATGGATGGATATATGGATAAGTGGATATTCGGATGGGTGGATATTCGGATGGGTGGATTTTTGGATGAGTGGATATTTGGATGGGTAGATGGGTGATATGTGGATGGATGGATGTGTGGATGAGTGGATATTCAGATGGGTAGATATTTGGATGAGTGGATGGATGGTTATGTGGACGGGTGGTTATATGGATGGATAGATGAATGAACAAATGAAGAATGAATGGACGAATAGACAAGTGAAGGAATATGAGGCCTTCTGATCCAAAAGACCTGTCTGATCCAAAAGAGCTCTGACTCTACCCTGGGATGCAATGTACAGAAGTACGGTCCAGTTAGACCAGGCTCTCTCCCTCAGCACAGTTGACATCTGGGTCTTGCTAGCTCCTTGCTGTTGGGGTGCACTGAGGGAGGTTTACAGCATCCCTGAGTTGTGACAATCAAAACTATCTCCAGACGTTGCCAGATGTCTTCCTGGGGGTGGGGTGACGATATTGCCCCTGGTTGAGAACCATTGAATTACATCTTTACTTTCCAAAAAAGATTCTTACAAACCTCCCCCTGCCCAAGTTCTCAGGAGAATAACTCGGTCCCCAGAGCATCTCTCAGCCACCGGAGAGCAACAGCTAGAAACTGTAGGCTTTGCCGCTGTCATTTATTATTTTATCACATATTTACATTCTAGTAGGCAGCCTGTCCCCCTGTCCACCAAGGCCCTTTGGTCCTCACTGGTCGGCCTGCTCCAGACCCCCAGGTGCTGGTGCAAGTCCAGACTTGAGGCTCCTCGATGTCAGACATTCAGCAGGAGGGGCCGGTGCTCCTCGTCGGCAGTGTCGCTGGGAGGAATTTCATAAATGACAAACAGGGAGGAGTACAAGCAGCCCAGGAAGGACACGAGGCTGGAGAAGTACATCACCCCGTTGGCGCTGCCCACGGCCGAGGTCAGGGGCCCCAGGACCAGGGAGACCAGAATCTGGGCCAGGAAGTACTGGCAGCTGAGCAGGGAGATGTCGACGCCCATGCCCCGCCGGGTGCCGTCCGCACTGGACCCTGCAAACTGACCCAGAGGAAGAGACGTGTCAGCGAGACGTGTCAGCGAGATGTGCCGCGGCCAGTACGAGGTGACTGAGCCCCGCGTGGCCTGCGAGCCCAGGAGGCCCGAGCGGCCCACGCACAGCGGCTCATGTTTTCCAGCACCGACGTGCACAGGGAGCTCAGCCAAGAGTTGAACAATATTTGTGTTCAGAGAGATGACGACAGTGAAAAGAATCTGTGACTAATGGGGCGGAGGGCTGAGCTCCCACGGGCCGAGGTGGCCGGAGACACTTTCCCCACTCAGCACGTGAGCTTGTCCCCATCCTCTCACCCAAACGAAACCAATCTGCCCAGCCAGGTGGCCACTCCACTCCTGTCTTCCTCTCGGTCACCTTCGTCCAGGATGGGGCCTGCCCCACACCCCGAAGTCCTCCACACGTGATGGCCTCTGCTCCTGTGCCTGAGGCTCCAAGGTCTTCGTGGCCTTCAGCTTGGACACGTCACTCACTCTCCCTCCCCTGCCAGCCACGCTGGGGGACAGTGGCTGAGAGCGTGGTCTGTGCAGAGTGACGGTGGGGAGGGGTGGCATGGGCTCCCCTCACTTGGCTCCCCTAGCACCAGCCAGCCTGTCAGGCACTGGGTGAGTGGACATCCCTGTGACCTGGGGGCCTGGGCCTCCCCTGTGGTTTCCCTGTGCCAATTCTACCCCCATCAGAAGGGCTGTGTTCAGGGCTGGCCCAGCTGAACCTGTCAGACTCCAAACTCTCTAAAACAAACCAGGGCTAGGCCTGGGGGAGGCAACTGAGGCATGAGATTAAAAGGGAGAAAAGGCCGGGCGCGGTGGCTTATGCCTGTATTCCCAGCACTTTGGGAGGCCAAGGTGGGCAGATCACCTGAGGTTGTGAGTTCAAGACCAGCCTGGCCCCGTCTACACTAAAATTCAAAAAAATTAGCCAGGTGTAGTGGTAGGCACCTGTAATCCCAGCTACTCGGGATGCTGAGGCACAATAATCACTGGAACCCGGGAGCCGAAGGTTGCAGTGAGCTGAGATCACACCACTGCCCTCCAGGGTGGGAAAAAAAAACCCCAACGACAAAAAAAAAAAAAAAAAAAAAAAGAGAAACTCAGTAATCCAGGTCATTTTTGTTTTCTTCTCTTTTCCTTCCTTCCTTCTTCTTTTTCTTTCTTTTCTTTCTTCTTTTTTAAGAGACAGGGTGCTCTGTTGCCCAGGTTGGAGTGCAGTGGCAAAATCTCAGCCCGCTGCAGCCTCAGCCTCCTGGGCTCAAGTGATCGTCCCACCTCAGCATCCTGAGTAGCTGGGACTACAAGTGCATGCCACCACACCTGGCTAATTTTTATTTTATTTTTAGAGATGGTCTCTGGCTATGTTGTGCAGGTTCTCCAGGTAATATTTCAATACAGTATTTTAAAATTTCAAAGTCACTGCCAAAAAAAAAAAATCATGGTGGGAACATTACGTGACCGTAAAAGGGAATAATGAGGCAGTGACCCAGGCAACAACATGGATGGACCTTGACGCCCACAGCTGAGTTGCAGATGCCAGACACAAAAGGCCTGATTCCATCACATGAGACATCCCAAATAGGCAAGTCCATGGGGACCGGAAGTAGGTCAGGGGTCACCTAGGCCTGGGAGAGTGGGAGGGTCAGAGGGGTGACAGCTGACGGATTTCTTCCTGGGTGACAAAACTGTTCTGAAATTGATGGTGATGATTGTACAACTTGTGCTAAAACCGCCGATGGTCCACTTCCCATGCTATTTGATGGTGCTTTGTATCTCAGTACAGCTGTTAAAAGCCTATGCTGAGGCCAGGTGCAGTGGCTCACGGCTATAATCTCAGCACTTTGGGAAGCTGAGGCGGGCAGATCGTTTGAGATCAGGAGTTCAAGACCAGCCTGACCAACGTGGTGAAACCTTGTCTATACTAAAAATACAAAGTTATCTGGGCATGGTGGTGGCATGTGCCTGTAATCCTAGCTACTCAGGAGGCTGAGGCCGGAAAATTGCTTGAACCCCGGGGCGGAGGTTAAAGTGAGCTGAGATCACGTCATTGCACTCCAGCCTGGGCAACAAGAGCGAAACTCTGTCTCAAAAAGAGAAAAGGAAAAAAAACCCATGCTGAGAAAATATGAAAAGAAAGTTTAAGGCACTTTATTTATTTATTTATTTATTTAGAGTCAGAGTCTCTGTCACCCAGGCTGGAGTGTAGTGGCACAATTTCAGCTCACTGCAGCCTCTGCCTCCCAGGTTCAAGCAGTTCTCCTGCTTCAGCCTCCTGAGTAGCTGGGATTATGGGTTCAGGCTACCACACCCGGATAATTTTTGTATTTTTAGTAGAGACAGGGTTTCGTCATGTTAGCCAGGCTAGTCTTGAACTCCTGACCTCAAGTGAGTGATCCACCCACCTCAGCCTTCCAAAGTGTTGGGATTATAGGCGTGAGCCACTGTGCTCGGCCTTTTAAAGCATTTTTTTTTTTTTTTTTTTTTTTTGAGATGGAGTCTCGCTCTGTCACCCAGGCTGGAATGCAGTGGCACCATCTCGGCTCACTGCAACCTCTGCTTCCCCAGGTTCAAGCAGTTCCCTGCCTCAGCCTCCTGAGTAGCTGGGATTACAGGTGCCCCCCACCATGCCCGGCTAATTTTTCTATTTTTAGTGGAAATGGGGTTTCGCCATCTTGACCAGGCCGGTCCTGAACCCCTGACCTTGTGATCCACCTGCCTCGGCCTCCCAAATGCTGGGATTACAGGTGTTAGCCACTGCCTCAGACTCCAGTATGGGGTGGCTCAGCACTGTTACTGATCTTTTCATTTTTTTTTTCAAAGTGTAACTATATTATGGTATAGAGTAGTATTTTATACATTGGCTCATTTTATACTAAAAACATTTATATACCACAGTAGAGAAACCACTGCACAGATAGCTCCAACTTGAATTAGAAAATACTGGCTGGGCACAGTGTCTTACGCCTATGATCCCAGCCCTTTGCGGGGCCGAGGCAGGTGGATCACTTGAGGTCAGGAGTTTGAGACCAGCCTGGCCAACATAGTGAAACCCTGTCTCTACTAAAGAAATATACAAAATTAGCTCGACATGGTGGCGGGTGCCTGTAATCCTAGCTACTTGGGAGGCTGAGGCAGGAAAATCGCTTGAACCCAGGAGGTGGAGGTTGCAGTGAGCCAAGATCACACCATTGCACTCCAACTTGGGTGACAAGAGCAAAACTCTGTCTCAAAAAAAGAAAGAAAGAAAATACTTTCTCTGTAGAAAATAGTAAAAATTATAAAACATACCAAGCTAGCTCAACAAGTTCATTTAAGCCAAAGAGTAGCTAAATGCATTATGCATTTATAAATAGGGGTTGAATTCTGGGATCCAGGATGACCTCTAATTTCATTTGTGGAAGCCGCCATGTTTTACGTTATGTGAAGTGAAATTTCTATTAATCTTATGATGCCTGATTATTTTTCTTTATGCCAAATCCATAATCCATAACAAGGTTTAGCTGTTCTTTTCTAAAGGACTGATACTGCATCCTTTTAATCTGCTTGATAGGCACCCATGCCTATCCAAATAATGAAATGGTTTGGCTGTTATTAAAGCATGCCCAGTATTTGGGCAAAACCAGATCTGATAAATTACGCTGTCACCTCATACCCACGGCTTGATGGGAAGCCATGAAGAACAAGAGCAAAGTGATAAAACCGGCAAGTAGATCAGGGAATAAAACCAAGACAATTCCGAGACCAGAGGGCAAGGACCATCTAGTCAGGATTCAAGGACAGAACTGAAGTTCAAATAGAAAAAGGATCCCGCCTCAAGGACCAGCAGCTGAGCTGGCTATCAGCACCCCAGTACGTGGCGAACTGATCCCCTCTTTATTTTAAATGTTTATGATATTGTTCTGCATGGATTTTTGGCATAAATTCTGATTGTTTTTTTCTTTGAGACGGAGTCTCGCTCTGTTGTCAGGCTGGAGTGCAATGGCGCGATCTCGGCTCACTGCAACCTTTGCCTCCCAGGTTCAAGCAATTCTCTGCTTCAGCCTCCCGAGTAGCTGGGACTACAGGTGCATACCACCACACCCAGCTAATTTTTGTATTTTTAGTAGAGACGGGGTTTCAACATGTTGTCCAGGATGGTCTCAATCTCTTAACCTTGTGATCCGCCCGCCTTGGCCTCCCAAAGTGCTGGGATTAATGAATTCTGATTTTTAAAAATAATTCATTAACATCTTATTGATCTGGATTGCTGAGTGTTCTGAGCTTCACTGCCTCCCCATAAGTCCCACTGTGAATGGTTGGGATAAGCGTCACCAGGAGACCCGGCTGCCTGACAAAGGAGTGGGGGGGGCGGCCTCCCATCCCCACATCCCTGCGAAGGACACAGAGCCCGGCCCAGAGCCTGGGTGGGCTGGAGGCTTCTGCTAGGGAAGCAATGAGGGGGAGGCAGGCAGGGGGCGCACCCCATGCTCAGAAGGGCCCCCTGGGTTTAACGCTCTGCTGTTGCTGTCTTGACAGTCGTCATTCTGCACCAGGCTCTGCAGATTGTATCCTGGGGGACAGGTCTCAGTGGGGTTTCTCTCTCTAAGGAGCAAACCCAAAGCAAGACCAGGGAGAGCACTTACCTTCTTACTTTGGTAGTAATCGCAGAGCAGCGAGTAGGGCAAGGTGCACAGCGTGGAAAATAGAACCCCGTAGGTTATACAGAGTGACAGAACCACGTACAGATTCCTGGAGAGGGTGGCGAGCCCTGTCCCCAGGCCGAAGGCGAGGTAGGCGATGAAGTAGAGGGTGCGGACGCTGAGGAACTCCTCCAGCTTCTCCAGGATAGCTGTGGGCCGCAGAGAGGGTCAGCCGTGCCATGCGGCCAGAGCCTCCAGGGACTCAGCTTCCAGTGCCACCTCCCCTGACACCAGCAGTGGTGGGAACTGGCGTGGCAAGCCACTTGCCCCAGAGCAGAAAGTACTTCCTGGGGGACCCAAGGGAGCTGAGAGCCCGCCCCAGTAACTCCGGTGGGTGCCCAGGACAGGGCTGTCTGGATGGATGGCAGGACCGGGGTGTCCTGTTCACACTGGCCTGGGCAAGGTCCCCCAGAGCTTCTGCAGGTAGAGGGGCCTTCGGGCTGTGACACCAAAGAGGCTCAGGGACTTAAGGTCTCCAGCTAAACCTCTGCGTTCTTGTGCAATTATGGAAACAACATCAGCCCGTCCCATAGCCAGCCACCATTGTTACACCCCCAAGAAGACATGACAGCATAGATGTCAGCGACCGGGCTCCCTAGAATCACATAAAACGGGGCCACTTCCCCACACCCTGAGGCACCCGGCTATGGGGGAACCCGGCACCCAAGGAGCCGCCCCACAGACTCGCAAGTGAGATCTGACTGATTTCTTCTTGCTGCAGTCCCTCAGGGACCCTCTACTTTGGGACTCGAACCCACGAAGATAGGGGCAACAAGTAAAGCCATTGGCAGATTAGGGCTCAAAGGCAGAGTCCAGCCTGCAGCCTAGTTTTGTAAATTAAAAAAAAAAATTTTTTTAAAGCGGCAGGACATAGTGGCTCACGCCTGTAATCCCAGCACTTTGGGAGGTCAAGGCAGGTGGATCACGAGGTCAAGAGATCGAGACCATTCTGGCCAACATGGTGAAACCCCGTCTCTACGAAAAATACAAAACTAGCTGGGCATGGTGGCGTGAGCTTGCGGTCCCAGCTACTCAGGAGGCTGAAGCAGGAGAATCACTAAACCAGGAAGGTGGCGGTTGCAGTGAACTGAGATCATGCCACTGCATTCCAGCCTGGTGACAGAGTGAGACTTCCTCTCAAAAAAAAAAAAAATCAAAAAGCGATGAACATTTCGTGATGTGAAAATCCCGTGAAATTCCTATTTCAGTGAACACGGTGCAGTTTTACTGGCACGCAGCGCCCACTCGGTTTCCCATGTCTGTGGCTTTCAGTGAGGGGCTGCAACAGAGACTGCTGGGCTGGCAAAGCTGGAAATACCAACTCTCCAGCCTTTTACAGAAAAAGTGTGCAGACCTCTGGGATAAAATTTCCCCAGCGCATACTTCCCACCAGGCCCCGTGGGGATGGCAGCTCAGCTTCACCCTGGCGTGAACTCAGTACTGCACTCCAAGGGTCCCCCAGACACAGAACCTCAAAGTCATCTGGGCCACAGCCCCTGCCCACCCCTATCCTCCACGATCACACAGCCCTGCCCCCACCTCCCTGGGAACCGGCTCCTTGAAGCAAAGTGGGAAGGAGCTGGGGGCTGGCGAACATGCTGCCTGGGAGTGGCCTCGGAGTTCCCCCCAGGCTCCTGCTTCACCCTCACTACGGCCTGCGGCCTGCGGGTGTAGTCAGGTCCTGACACACCACACCCATGCCCCCGAGGGTCACCAGGTCTCAGAGGCCTGAGGCCCCCAGGCTCAGCATCTTCAGACCGGCTCCCCCAAGCCCAGGGCCCTGCAGCCGGGAAAGAGGTGGCATCTCCCGAATTGGGATGTAGTGTCTGCAATCGTAAGGCCGAGGACCTGCCTTCATTTCACAAGCTCCACAGACCCAACCGAAGCCCTCACTGCCTGCCAGCCTGGCCTGGCACAGGTACCTGAGTAGAAGGCGGCGCTGAAGGCGTAGATGCACATGCCCCAGCAGCCCATGGTCACGCCGCTGTTGTACTTCTGATACGCCTCTGATGTGTGCGGGGCCTTGGGGTCCCCCTGAAACACCACCTCGCCCATGAAGTCCGTGTAGAAGAGCAGCATCCCCTCGAAGGAGAGCCACCCTGGAAGAAAGAAAGGGGTTCATGACCTCAGGGCAAAGGCAGCACTCTGCCCTTTCCCTAACCATCACGCAGTTATTGCTTATAAAAGTTACGAGTGCTTTGTATGGATTCAAACGTAAAAGAAGAAATATCTCTAGCTTCACCATCCAGAATAACCTCTGTTAAAACTGTGTTCAGGCCAAGCACAATGGCTCATGCCTGTAATCCCAGCACTTTGGGAGGCCAAGGCAGTCGGATTGCAAGGTCAGGAGTTTGAGACCAGCCTGGCCAATATGATGAAACCCCATCTCTACTAAAAAATACAAAACTTAGCCAAGTGTGCCTGTAGTCCCAGCTACTCCGGAGGCTGAGGCAGGAGAATTGCTGGAACCTGGGAGGCAGAGGTTGCAGTGAGCCAAGACTGTGCCACTGCACTCCAGCTTGGGCAACAGAGCAAGACTCCATCTCAAAACAAAAATAAAAACAAACCCCCCAAAACTGGGGGGTTTGGCTGTGTCCCCACCCAAATCTCATCTCAAATTGTAGCCCCCATAATCCCCACATATCATGGGAGGGAGCCAGTGGCAGGTAATTGAATCACGGAGGCAGGTCTTTATCATGCTGTTCTCATGAGAGTGAGTAAGTCTCATGAGATCTGATGGTTTTATAAAGGGCAGTTCCCCTGCGCACACTCTCTTGCCTGCTGCCATGTAAGAAGTGCCTTTCCTTCTCCTTCACCTTCTGCCATGATTGTGAGTCCTCCCCAGCCATGTGGAACTGGAGTCCATTAAACCTCTGTTTCCTTCTAAATTACCCAGTTTTGGGTATGTTTTTATTAGCAGCATGAGAACAGACTAACACAGTTTCCTTGCAGTCTTGTATTTTAAGCCACTACATATTTCTATAAACACGAGGCAAGGGTAGTGGTGAAGGTGCTCCAGCTCCCTGGGCGATGCAGGGGCAGGGGGCCGTTTAATTGGGAAAAATCCATTGGGGAGCACGGAAATGAATATGATGCCATGGACCTTAGTGCTCTGTTCCCTGAACCTCAGCAGTCCCCTCTTTGGTGGAGGAAGGTGGTATTTATAGGCCCTCTTGAACCATTGTGAATTATCACCTACAATGTTCTATGCCATCAAGAATTAAACAGACTTGTTTGGATGGCAGCAAAATATTTCACAGTGTGGATGCACCGAATATATTTAACCCTTCCCCAACTGTTGGACATCTCTATCCCCCGTTGAGTCTGTGGCTGTCCTAAACCATGCTGTGATAAATGCCTTGCACATATATTCTGAATACAGTCTTTGATTATGGGCTTGCAGGAAATACTGAGTAAGGTCACGGAGATAAAAGGTAGGAATATTTTTGAGATTCTCACCCATTATGACATTGCATTCTAGGTTATGTTGATTTATGTCCCACAATGTATGGGTATCTCAAATTCTTTTTTTTTTTTTTTTTTTTTTTGAGACATTGCTCTGTCACCGGGCTGGAGTGCAGTGGTGCCATCTTGGCTCACCGCAACCTCAGACTCCCTGGTTCAAGCAATTCTCCTGCCTCAGCCTCCCAAGTAGCTGGGATTACAGGCATGCGCCACCACCTCTGGCTAGTTTTTGTATTTTTAGTAGAGATGGGGTTCCACCATGTTGGCCAGGATGGTCCCAATCTCCTGACCTTGTGATCCACCTGCCTCAGCCTCCCAAAGTGCTGGGATTGCAGGTGTGAGCTGCTGCGCCTGGCCTCAAATTCTTAATCATGCTCAAATGTTTGACAACTCCACAGCAAAAAGAGACCAAATGGAATGAAATGCAAATTGGTGCTTATCAGTGGTCATTGGAAGGCTGAGCCAGGTGAATTTACAAAGTGCAATAGACATCGGCAGGCAGGTGTGGGGTCTGTGCTCCAAGACAGAGCAAGACAAAGTGGGAAGGTGGGAAGGAGGGGAGGTGGGAATGTGGGAAGGTGGGGAATGTGGGAAGGCAGGAAGGCGGGAATGTGTGAAGGCGGAAGGCGGGAAGGCGGGAATGTGTGAAGGCGGAAAGGCGGGAATGTGTGAAGGCGGGAAGGCGGGAATGTGTGAAGGCGGGAAGGCAGGAATGTGGGAATGTGTGAATGTGGAAAGGTGGGAATGTGGGAATGTGGGA